GCAGCGAAGAGGGTGTTGCGCTACTTGTGCAGTACGTCGGGCATGGGGCTTGTGCTTGGAGGGCATAGTTCAGTGGTCCTCACTGGGCACGCAGACGCTTCTTGGGCTGACGACCAGGCTACGCAGCGGTCGTCACAGGGTTACACTTTCAGCCTTGGTTCCGGCTCTGTTTCGTGGCGGTCTACCCGCTCGTCTTCTGTTCTCGGCTCCAGTTGTGAGGCTGAGATCTACGCAGGGGCCATGGCTGCACAGGAGTTACGCTGGCTCACCTACCTGCTGACTGACCTGGGAGAGCCGCCTCGTTCTCCTCCAGTGCTGTACGTAGACAACAAGGCCATGCTGGCCTTGTGTCGGGAGCACAGACTGGAGCACAGAACGAAGCACATCGCTCTTCGCTACTTCCTTGCTCGTGAGCTGCAGCAGCGTGGTCAGCTGCACCTTGCTTACGTGGCCTCTCAGGCCAACACTGCTGATATCTTCACTAAGGCACTCGCGCCTTGTGATCATCAGCGCTTCTGTACTCAGTTAGGTCTTGTGCCTACCTTGCCTCACTTGCTCGCCTCTTGACCTTGCTTGTACTGTTACATATATATATACCTGCTCTTGCTTGTTTAGCATTATATATATGTAATCTTGCATGTGAACTGGCCTTGTGGCCTTGAACTTGTGCTCAGACTGTGTGGTGACATTGAGATCCACCCTGAGCTTGCTTTGCTTTGCTTTGCTTTGCTTGACTGGTCTTGTGACCCCTTGTTGTCCCCCACTTTGCCTATGGGGGTGTGTCAAACATTATATATGTTGTAGCTTTGTAGGCTACAGTGGGTTTAGCCTTAGGGGGTACACAATTCTAGGGTTTCATATTTGTACTCCCATTCTTGCTAGTCACACCATTCCTCATTTCAACACAAGCAAGTTGCATTCTCTTCCGTGAAAAAAGGTACTGTGCTTGTCGCCCGTTTTGCGCATTGCTGATCCACACTGTACATTCAAAGTTTTCAGGCACTGGCAATACCTGCTAAGGACTACAACCGACTGCATACAAGTCTCGCAAACAACATCCGCCTTAGAAGAATCACCCAATAAATGACTGCAAAATGCTCGTGATAGTCGTGCGTTCAAGATTTGGCGTTGTTACATGGCTAGCACATTCGTGACAGTATGGATAGACCACTGATCGCTATCGTACCTCTGCGCACAACCTTATCTCAATAGACGGTTGGGTTTTCTCGAGTCCAATTTTCATTACACGGTCATTTACAGAAAAGAACCAATCTTCAAATGTCACTTGCGCATTGACCCGCCCGACTGCCCCGATTCACGCCATCCTACTACCCTAGACCCGTCCACTCCTTCTATTCACACATGGATATCAAACTGACACATTCGTCACCGGCAGTAACTCACAATTGTTCGCAGAGGCACGAGGGATGGAAATGCAGTAACCGACAAAAACCATATCTAGGTACCAGGCTATTCCGTACGGTGGGAACTGCTCTCGCACGGCGGAATTGCTACAGGAAATTTCATGCTAGAAAAAAGTACGGCGGCAACAACAAGGGTATTACTATTGGCCGGATATGTTCACTAACGTACTGGCACATGGTCTTGTGCCCCTCTTGCCAGCTCATGAACTCATCACAACAAGTTTCAGCGGGAAAGTTGCAGCTAATACCACCCCGATAGCGTGCTTGGCAGCAGGTGACAATAGACTTCGTCACGGGGTTACCCTTACGGGATTTAGTGGAAAGATGCAATTTTTGTGGTCAATAATTGGCTAACAAGAATGGCACACTTCACAGCCTTCAACCATTCGTCATCAGGGTTGTCAGGGTTTTGTGTTATCCGATGAACGCAGAATTCTCCAATTCATCCAGATTGCGCGGCACTATCAGTGCACCAAGCCACCAACTGCCTCGAGTTGGTGGGTTTGTTTCCATTAACACGCAAGCTTTGCGCAACTGCGCTGCCCGCGGGAAGAAAAAAAAAAAAAAAAAAAAACATAATCCCCCATGGGAGGCAATGTGTTTAGGGTTGATGCTCCCCGAAGGGCATCCCCTTCCTACATGGGTTTTTGTTTTTGCCCACGAGCAGCGCAAGCGAGTGCTCACTACCCCTGTTATAGCACACCTCCTTCTCCTTGTTTACTGATATGTCAGCTCCTCGTTCTACGTCATCCTAGTCCGACCATACGTTCCCTCCACGAGCCAACTCCCACGCAGTCTACCCACGAGCATGATACGACCACACATAGAGCTTGTCATTGAACGCGGAAAATTTCTCAGCCATCGAGTCCGTGATCCACGGCCAACCCGACGGATCAAGTTCCTTCTTCGGTAAAAAGGCCGAACACCGATAGAAGACAGTTGGGTACTTCAGAGCAGAATTCAAAATCACCCAGTCCTCATTGACTACTTTCGCAACAAAAATTTCCGGAACGTCAATACGCTTGCGTAAGGAGGGGGGTAGGGAAGCTGAACGGGAAAAGTCGAGGTGTTGGGAGGGTGAGGGGCTTTATATTTGCCCAACTTCTTGCCACAATTAATATTCTTTTCGATGACTCAGCAGACTGTCAAAACATGTTCCTATGTTCTTAGTTCTGCTAGGCTACAGTGAGGTACTTAGTATAGAGTACAACCCTAGTTAGGGTTTCCTACTTGTACCTCATTCCCCCATAGTTCATTCACCATTCGTGCACATAGATTCTGACATGGTATCAGAGCAGGTCCTTCACTAGGACCGCTTCGTTAGGGCCCACTAACCGTACGAACTGCCCCAGAAGCTGCTGCCATCATGTGCTGCCCTGCTTCCACGCGCTACCCTCCTTGCTGCGCGCTGCCCTGCCCTACAGCCCACGCGTCGCCCTGCCCCGCAGCCCGCGCGTCGCCCTGCCATGCAGCCCGCACGTCGCCCTGCCCTACAGCCCGCACGTCGCCCTGCCCTGCAGCCCACACATCGCCCTGCCATGCAGCCTGCACGTCGCCCTGCCCTTCAGCCCGCACGTCGCCCTGCCCTCCAGCCCTGCCCTGCAGCCCGCGCGTCGCCCTGCCGTGCAGCCCGTGCGTCGCCCTGCCATGCAGCCCGCACGTCGCCCTGCCATGCAGCCTGCACGTCACCCTGCCCTTCAGCCCGCACGTCGCCCTGCCCTCCAGCCTGTGCGTCGCCCTGCCCTGCAGCCCGCGCGTCGCCCTGCCGTGCAGCCCGCACGTCGCCCTGCCCTACAGCCCGCACGTCGCCCTGCCCTGCAGCCCACACGTCGCCCTGCCATGCAGCCTGCACGTCGCCCTGCCCTTCAGCCCGCACGTCGCCCTGCCCTCCAGCCCGTGCGTCGCCCTGCCCTGCAGCCCGCGCGTCACCCTGCCATGCAGCCCGTGCATCGCCCTGCCCTGCAGCCCGCGCGTCGCCCTGCTCTGCAGCCCGCGCGTTGCTCTGCCCTGCAGCCCGCGCGTCGCACTGCCCTGCAGCTCGCGCGCCGCCCTGCCTTGCAGCCCGCGCGTCGCACTGCCCTGCAGCTCGTGCGCCGCCCTGCCTTGCAGCCCCGCGCGCTGCCCTGCCCTGCAGCTCGCGCACCGCCCTGCCCTGCAGCTCGCGCGCTGCCCTGCCCTGCAGCCCGCGTGCCACCCTGCCCTGCAGCCTGCACGCTGCCCTGCCCTGCAGCCCACGCGCTGCCCTGCCCTGCAGCCCGCGTGCTGCCCTGCTCTGCAGCCCGCACGCTGCCCGGCCCTGCAGCCTGCGCGCTGCCCTGCACTGCAGCCTGCGCAGCACTGCAGCCCACGCACTACCATGCCCTACAGCCTGTGCACTGCCCTACTACTGCAACGACTACCGCTACTGCTACAGCTGCAGCTACAGCAGTCACTTCTGATGCCCTTGCGCCGCTGTTACTCACTGCCGCTGCCTGTCATGGCCACTATCACGGTAGTAGCAGCGGCTGTCAGTAGACAACAGCAGCTGCCTCACCTGGATTCTTTATCGCCGCAGCAGCTTCGTGAGTGGGTTGTTCAACGAGGCCGTCCTGGTGGTGGAGGATATGATCCTGGAGGTACTCGACAGCGGTGGCAGCAGAGTCAGCCGGAGATCCCCTTGCCGCCGCAGCCTCGGGAGTGGATTTCTCAGCGACATGTCTCTGGTACTCTCGGTGCTGTTGCTCTAGGTACTAGTGAGTCTGCTGCCGCTCTAGGTGCCAGTGCGTCTGCTGCCCCAGGTGCTAGTGAGTCTGCTACTAGTGCGTCTACTGCCTCAGCTGAGGCCTTGCACACTTTCACACTTGACTCTGGTGCGTCACGTTGCTTTTTCGTGATTGCACTACCGTCGCACCCTCGCTGCACCCGTCCCAGTCTCCCTGGCTGACCCCTCTGGGGGTCCGGTCGTTGCACGGGACTCCACTGTCCTCCCGTGTCCGGCAGTCCCCTCTGGCTCTCTTTCAGGTCTCCACCTCCCCTCATTCTCGACGAACCTGGTGAGCAACGCAGTCCTTCAGGATGCATGGGTTGATACCTTTACCCCTGGAGGGCAGCGTGTGGCGATCTGTACGTGCTCCAGGACTGAACGTCACCTTGCTACGTTCACTCGGCAGCCTGGGTCCAGCCTGTACACCATGACCACTGCGTCTGCACAGGTGGCTGCGTCAGGTCAGGTGGCTGCGTCGAATCAGGTGTCTACGTCTGGCCAGTTTGCTGCGTCGTGCTCGTGTCGGGTACTCTCCCACCAGACTCTTCTCTGGCACCACCGCCTTGGTCACCCCTCTCTGCCGCATCTCCGCAGCATGCACTCTCGTCTCCTTGTCTCTGGCCTTCCCAGGTCTCTGCCCCCCCTCCCGCGCTCGCCTGCCCCGCCCTGCCTTCCTTGCGTCGAGGGGCGGCAGCGCGCCGCTCTTCACTCCTCCTCGTTTCCTCCGACCACTGCTCCTCTGCAGACTCTCCACATGGACGTGTGGGGCCCGGCCCGCGTCCGTCTGTGGGACGGACCAGGAGCGCTACTTCGTGCTGGTCGTTGACGACTAGATGCGCTACACCACGGTCTTCCCCTTGCGCAGCAAGGCGGACGTCTGCGGTGTCCTGATCCCCTGGATCCGCGCTACTCGTCGCCAGCTGCGCGAGCGGTTTCGGCAGAACCTTCCGGTCCTTTGTCTGCACTCTGACAAGGGCGGTGAGTTATGTTCCGGCCTCCTTGCGGACTTCTGTCGAGACGAGGGCATCGTCCAGTCGTTCACGCTTCCGGCCTCTCCGCAGCAGAATGGGATTGCTGAGCGTCGCATTGGCTTGATCATGGAGGTTGCTCGTACCTCCATGATCCATGCAGCTGCTCCCCATTTTCTGTGGCCGTTTGCGGTCCGATACGCTGCGCATCAGCTCAACCTCTAGCCCCGTGTCTCCTTGCCGGAGACCTCGCCCTCTCTCTGTTAGACGGGGAAGGTTGGTGATGCGTTGGTGTTTCGGGTTTGGGGCGTGCTCTCCCTTGTCCGTGATACCACTTCAAACAATCTCTCTCCTCGCACTCTCCGCTGCGCCTTGCTAGGCTTCCCCACCGATGCCCCGCCCTGGCAGTTTTACCACCCTGCCTCGCGTCAAGTCCTGTCCTCCCAGGACGTCACCTTTGGCGAGTCTCTATGTTTTTACAGGCTCCACCCGCACGCGTCCCACCCGGTTCCCCTACCACCTCTCTTCTTGGTACTAGTTTCCCCCTAGTAGACCCCCTCCCCTCACAGGTTCCTGCTCCCTCAGGTGTGTCTCAGGTAGACCCACCCCCCTTGGTTGAGCCTTTATCTGGAGATCTTGTCTGACTCCTCTGGCCCCGCTGAGGGGGGTGACCCCGCCGCTGACGACACGGCGGCCACTCGCCGCTCTCCACGCTTGGAGACCCCTCCTAGTTTTCCGCCTCGACCGTCTTCGCCGCCTCTGCAGCCTGACGCTGTGGACACTGGTGCTCCTGGGGGTGGTACCACTGGGGGTGAGGACTCTGGGGGTGCTGAGACTGAGGGTGAGGGTTCTGGGGGTGCTGAGAGTGGGGGTGCTGAGAGTGGGGGTGCTGCGAGTCCTTGTGGTAGTGGGGCTGTGGGTGCTCCTGCTGTAGGTCCTGGCGTTGGACAATAGCAGCCGCCTAGTCGACTCGAGACACCCTCACCGCAGCAGCTTCGTGAGTGGGTCGTTCGGCGAGGCCGCTCTGGTGCTGGGGCTTAGAGTTTCCTAGTTAGTGGAGCTGCTGGTGCTGGAGGTGCTGGAGCTGCTGGTGCTGGAGGTACTGGAGCTGCTGGTGCTGGAGGTACTGCTGGTGCTGGAGGTGCTACTGGTGCTGGAGCTGCTGGTGCTGGAGGTGCTGCTGGTGCTGGAGGTGCTGCTGGTGCTGGAGGTCCTAGAGCTGGAAGTCCCTGAGGTACTGGAGCTGCTGGTGCTAGAGGTACTGGAGCTGCTGGTGCTGGAGGTACTGCTGGTGCTGGAGGTGCTGTTGGTGCTGGAAGTGCTGGAGCTACTGGTGCTGGAGCTGCTGGAGCTGCTGGTGCTGGAGGTGCTGCTGGTGCTGGAGGTGCTGCTGGTGCTGGAGGTGCTGCTGGTGCTGGAGGTGATCGAGCTGCTGGTGCTGGAGGTGCTGCTGGTGCTGGAGGTGCTGCTGGTGCTGGAGGTCCTGGAGCTGCTGACACTCGAGGTGCCAGAGCTGGGGCTGCTGGTGCTGGAGGTGCTAGAGCTGGAGGTCCCACAGATACTAGAGCTGCTGGTGCTGGAGGTGCTGGAGCTGCTGGTACTGGAGGCGCTGGAGCTGCTGGTGCTGCTGGTACTGGAGGTGCTGCTCAAGCTGGAGGTGCTGGAGGTGCTGGTGCTGCTGGAGCTGCTGATGGTACGGGTGTTGCCCCACGCCGACCGTTTTTCTACCCGCAGCCGCAGTCGTCCTAACCACCGCCTGGCTCGGCACTTTGTCAGGTTCTTAGTCTTCCGTCTTCCACTAGCCTCACTCCTCCCTTACTGTGTCCACCGCCTGACCCGTCTCAGACACAGTTACCGCCAGACTCCCCACTGCCTGCTCCTTCTCCTTACACTGAGCAGCCGCACTCCCTGACAGAGCGTCGTGAGCCTGCGTCTCGTCCTACCTCGCCTGTTCCCACTGTTCGCCGTGCTCGTCATGTTCCTTGTCCTCTTCCTCGACTAGTCCCCGACATTCACACAATGGCAGTTCGTCCTTCCTCTGTTCCACAACGTGTTGCCCTGCCGTCTTCTCCACCGTCCTCTCTTCCTGACATTCCCGACCCTCCGTCTGACCTTGCTCGTGCTGCTAGTCCCAGTGTCACTCGTCCCCTAGCTACTGTTGTCAATGGCCCTTCTTTGAGTCTACTGCTGCGTCTGCCTTGGTTGCTGAGCTTGTTGACTTTGCTGCTGCGTGTCGTCTCGAGTACGTCGCGGGTCTTGTCACTGAGTCTGATTCTGACTGTCCTCCGTCCGTCGGGGGTGAGTGTGCCCTTAGCATGGACGTCCTTGGGGACAGACAATTTGAGCTTGAGTGTCTTACGGCCGTTTTACCTCGTCTCGCATCCATGCTGGTTTGCCCTGTGGGAGACCCGGATGCACTTGACATCCCTACGTCACGCACTTACGCTGAGGCGATCGCGGGTGAGTACTCCTCTCAGTGGCAGACAGCCATGGACGTGGAAATGGCTTCTTGGAAGTCCACAGGCACCTACGTTGACGAGGTTCCCCCTCCTTGGGCGAACATAGTCGATGGCATGTGGATCTTCAGGGTGAAGCGGCCGCCAGGTTCTCCACCTGTCTTCAAGGCTCGTTACATTGCTCGAGGCTTTAGTAAGCGACAGGGGATCGAATTGTTCCAGACCTTCTCCCCCACCCCGAAGATGACTACTCTTCGGGTGTTGCTGCACGTTGCAGCACAGCGTGACTACGAGCTGCACTCCCTCGACTTCTCCACAGCTTTCTTGCAGGGCAGCCTTCACGAGGAGATCTGGCTGCGCCACCCACCTGGCTTCACTGGGTCGTTTCCTGCTGGTACCCAGTGGCACCTCCGGCGGCCGGTCTACGGTCTCCGCCAGGTGCCACGTGAGTGGCACGACACACTGAGGACGACACTTGCGGCTCTTGGGTTTGCTCCTTCGACTGCTGACCCATCGCTGTTTCTACGCACCGACACTTCTCTGCCGTCGTTTTACATCCTTGTGTACGTTGACAACTTGGTTTTTGCTACTGCTGACACTGAGGCACTGACCCTCGTGAAGTCAGAGCCGCAGAAAAAACACACCCGCACTGACCTGGCCCAACTATCTTGGCTTGCAGATCACCCGGAACAGAGCACGGCGCACCATTACTCTGACTCAGTCACACATGGTGCACCAGGTCCTTCAGCGCTTCGGCTTCCAGTTCTCCTCGCCACAGCCCACTCCTCTGCCTACAGGTCACTCGCTCTCAGCTCCACCTTCGGACGAGTCCGTAGAGCCGAGTGGTCCGTATCCAGAGCTTGTGGGTTGCCTCATGTACCTGATGACCTGCACACGCCTTGACCTCGCGTACCCTCTCAGCCTCATGGCTCGCTACGTGGCTCCCGGCAGACACCGAAAGGTGCACTGGGATGCTGCTAAGAGGGTACTGCGTTACTTGTGCAGTACATCGGGCATGGGGCTCGTGCTTGGAGGACGGGGTCGAGTTGTACTTACAGGACACTCCGACGCTTCTTGGGCTGACGACCAGGCGTCTCATCGGTCGTCACAAGGCTACACCTTCAGTCTTGGCTCTGGCTCTGTCTCGTGGAGGTCCACTCGTTCGTCTTCTGTTCTAGTTCCAGCTGTGAGGCTGAGATCTATGTTGGGGCTATGACTGCACAGGAGCTGCGCTGGCTGACCTACCTGCTGACCGACTTGGGGGAGCGGCCTCGTTCTCCTTTAGTTATGTTCGTTGACAACAAGGCCATGCTTGCCTTGTGTCACTTGCTGAGGCTGGAGCACAGAACGAAGCACATTGCTCTTCGTTACTTTCTTGCTCGGAAGCTACAGCAGCGTGGTCAGCTACGCCTTGCTTACGTGGCCTCTGAGGCCAACACTGCTGATGTCTTCACCAAGGCCCTTGGGTCTGGTGATCATCAGCGTTTCTGCACTGCTCTAGGCCTTGTACCCACTCTGCCTCACTTGCTGATCGCTTGACTTTGTTTTGTACTGTGATCTTCATATATATACTTGCATGCTTGCTCTTGCTTTGTTGTGATCACTGTACTGTTTGTGCTCTTTATAACTCTGCATGTGAACTGGCCTTGTGGCCGCTTGCTTGTGCTCAGAATGAGTGGTGATCTTTAGATCCACCCTGGGCTTTGCATTGCTTTGTTCTCTTGCCTGACTGGTCTTGTGACCATTTGTAGCATTGGCTATCCCTCACTTTGCCTAGGGGGGTGTGTCAAAACATATTCCTATGTTCTTAATTTTGCTAGGCTACAGTGAGGTACTCAGTATAGAGTACAACCCTAGTTAGGGTTTCCTACTTGTACCAAACTCATTCCCCCATAGTTCATTCACCATTCGAGCACAGAGATTCTGACACATACCCCAGGGGCCACCCCGAGTTTGGTTGCGAGAGTCCTCATTGCATAGAGATTCATCATTCAACTTCCAGTGCGCAAGCCAATCATCTCCACTCATACAATTTGTAACCCTAATTCACACAAGAAACACACTCAATCATGATTTCAAAGGTGGGACGTGTGATTTGCAAGTTGGGTATGGCCTCTAACTGCTTATTCCATAGTGCAATGCTCAGGGCGTACCTTCCATAACTCAATTATCTCAACAAGGGGGGGCATTAGAGGAGAGGATTTCGGGGGTATGAGATGTGTGGGAGGTATGAGAGGAGTGGGGGATATTGGAGGAGCTAGATGGGATGTAAAGAGTGGGGTGTGTGTCTGGAGTGGGGAATATGAGAGGATTGTGGAAGATGAGAGGAGTGGGGTGTGAGAGGAATAGGTCCTATAAGGACCGTGAGGGTTTGAGGGGAGTGGGGAGTGCAAGAGGAGTGGAGGGAAAGAGAAGAGTGGGGGTTCAAGAGGAGTGCATGGTATGAGACGAATGGGGAGTATGAGAGGAGTGGAGAGTATGAGAGGAGTGAGGATAATGAGGACTGAGGGGTATGAGAGGTGTGAGGGGCATGATAGGAGTGAGGAGTATAAGAGGAATGGGGGATATGAGAGGAGTGGGGGTTGTGCATGTAGTGTGGGGTATAAGAGGAGTGGGATGTATGAGGGGAGTGGGGGTGTGATAGGAGTGGGGGAATGAGAGGAGTGAGGGCGTTTAAGCATTAGTGGTATGAGAGGGGGCTATGAATGGATTGGGGGTTTTGAAAGGAGTGGGAAGTATGATTGGAATGGGGGGCATGAGCAGAATCAGGGGTATGAGAGGAGAAAGGATTGGGGCCCATCAAAGGAGTGGAGACATGAGAAAAGTGTGAGTTATGAAAGATGCAGGGATATGGGAGGAGTGCAAGGTATGAAAGGAGTGAGGGGTATAAGGGGAGAGCGTTGTATGAGAGGAATGGGGGATATCATAGTGTTGGGGGTATTTGAGGGTGGGGGATATGGGGAAAGTGAGAGTTTTAAGAGGTATGAGAGGAATGAAGGTTACAAGGGGAATGGGAGAAGAGGGAGAGGAGTTGAGAAATAGGGGGTGTGAGAGGAATGGGGTATGAGAGAAATGGGTTATGAGAGGAATGGGTTATGAGAGGATTAAGGGGTATGCAAGGAGTGTGGGGGTATGAGGGGAGTGGGGTATGAGGGGAATAGGGCGATTGTGATATGTGTGGAGAATATGTGAGGAGCAGGGGGTATGAGAGGAAAGGGTTATGAAATGAGTGGGAGATATGAGAGTGTGAGGGTTATGAGAGAAGTGGGGGAGTGGGGGTTATGAGAGAAAGGGGGTGTATGAGAGGAATGGGGGTTATGAGGGGAATGGAGGATGAGGGAGAGAGGGCATGAGAGGAATGGGTTGTGAGATGGGTGGCGGATCTGCGGCAAGTGGGGGACATGAGAAGTGTGGGGGTTATGAGAAAAGTGGGGGAGTGGGGGTTATAAGAGGAAGGGGGTGTATGAGAGGAATGGGGTTTATGAGGGGAATGGAGGATGAGGGAGAGAGGGCATGAGAGGAATGGGTTGTGAGATGGGTGGCGGATCTGCGGCAAGAGGGGGCATGAGAGGAGTGGCGGAGTGAGTGGAGTGGGGGTTGAGGGAAGTGGGGGGTATGAGATGAGTGGGGGGTATGAGTGTAGTTGGGGGCATGAGGCAAGTGGGGATTATGAGGGAGTGGTGGTTAAGAGAGGAATCAGTTGTGAGAGGAGTGCGGGTTTCTAGATAAGTCTGGGAGTGGGATGTTTGAGAGGAAGAGGTGGTATGAGAGGATTGGGGGGTATGAGAAATGTAGATTTATGGGAGGAGTGGATGGTATGAGAGAATTGGGGGTATCAGGAGAATGGGGAATATGATAAGAGTGGGGGGTATGCAAGGATTAGGGGGTGAGAGAAGTGGGGGATATGAGAGGAAAGGGGGAATGAGAGGAGTGGGGGTTATGAGAGGAGAGGTGTGTATGAGGGGAGTGGGGGGTGTTAGAGGAGCAGGGAGCATGAGGGAATCAGGGGGTATAATAGGAGTAGGGGGTATGGTGGGATTGGAGGGTTATGAGAGGAGTGGTGGGTGTAATAGGGAAAAAATATGGGGTATGAGAGGATTGCGGAGTGTAAGAGGAGAGGGGTGTATGAAACGAGTGGGTGTGGAGAAAATTGGGTAGTATGAAAGGAGTGTGGGGTATTGAAAGATTTGAGGGCATTGGAGGAGTGGGTTTATACGAGGGGAGTGAGAAGTATGAGAGAACTGGGTGGGGGGTATGAGCAGTGAGGGGCAATAAAAGAGTGAGGAATGAGAGGAGTGGGGGATTTAAGAGGATGAATGGGGGAGTGACGGTAGTGGGGGGTATGAAAGGAGTGTGAGTGAGAGGAATGACGGGTCTGTGTAAAGTAGGGGGCAGGAGAGCAGTGGTGTGAATGGGAGGAGTGCAGGTTATGGGAGTAGTGGGGGGTATGGGTGGAATGGGGGGTATGAGATGAGTGTAGGGAATGAGAGGAGTGGGGGGAATTAGAAGAGGTGGGGAATAAGAATAGTGGTGGGAATAAGAGAATTGAGAGAAGTGGAGGGAATGAGAGGAATGGTGGGAAGGAGTTGGAGGTATGATTGGAGTGTGGGATATGGGAGGGGTGGGAAGTATGAAAAAATTGGGTGGTAGATTAGGAGTGGGTGAATGACGAGTGAGGGGTATGAATGGAGTGGGTGGGTATCATACGAGAGGGGATGGTGTATGAGAGGAGTGGGGGTTATGAGAGCAGTGAGGGGTATGACAGGAGTGGGGATTATGAGATGAGCAGGGGGTTATGAGAGAATGGTGGTATTTGCGGAGTGGGGCCTCTTCAGATGGCTGAGTGTGGCCAACCAGAGTTTGGAAATGGGTCAGGTGAATGCTGGCAATGCTGCACAATGGGGCGGACAGCTGGAGTGATGAAATCCAGGGAGAGAAGATTGATAGGAGGTTCGGAATGATACCGTAGGAAGGCAAAAGGGAGAGGGGACCAAGTGACAGAAGCAAACCCCTAAATAAACCCCCTAAATAACCCCCCTAAATAACCCCCCTAAATAACCCCCCTAAATAAACCCTGGTGCGTCTTATTGCCAGGGTGCTTTCAAAGATACAACCTACAAGCAGCCTACATTCTCCGTCATCAGCATGGTGGGTGGGAGGTATGGGAGGAGTGGGAGGAATGAAAGAGTTGGGGGTTATGAGGAGTGAGGAGTATGGGAGGAGTCTGAGATATGAGAGGACTGGCGGGTATGTGAAAAGTAGGGGGTAAGAGACAGTGGTGAGAATGGAAGGAGTGCAGGTTTTGGGAATAGTGGAGGGTTTGGGCGGAATGGGGGGTATGAGAGGAGTGGGGGGAATGAGAGGAGAGGGGGGAATGAGAGGAGAGGGGGGAGTGACAGGAATCGGGTGTATGATTGGATTGGGGGATATGGGAGGGTTGAGAAGTGTGAGAGAATTGGGCAGTAGATTAGGAGTGGGGGAACGAAAAGTGAGGGGTATGAATGGGGTGAGTGGGTATGAGAGGATTGGGGGAGGGGGGTTATGGGAGGAGTGGGGGCTATGAGCAGAGAGTTGTATGGAGGAGTGGAAATAATGAGAGGAGCGGGGGTATGAGAGAATGCTGAAATGTGCAGAGTGGGGGCCCTTGAGCATGCACAGGGGTTTAGCGGCCTTGACATGGCTGAGTGTAGCCAACCAAAGCCCGGAATTGGGTGAGGTGAAACAACTGGTGGAGAATGCTGCGAATGCTGCACAATGGGGAGGACAGCTCGGGTGACGAAATCCAGGGAGAGCATATCGGTAGGAAGTTCGGAACGATGCACAAGGGAGAGGGGAACGTTTGACAGAAACGGAGTGCCCCCAAGTTCAGGACAAATACAGACTGGTACGTTTTACTTAGGGTGCTTTCGAGCATATTTCATATCCTACAAGCACACTACATACATGGTGCGTGGTGGTGTTGAGGTGTACGGTACCTTTAAGTGAGAAAGGAGAACCCTGGAAAAATGATCAATTTTTTCAAAAGCTTCTGTGCACCAAACCAATGCTTTTTGTTTGTTTGTTTTCGTTTTTGTTTTGTTTTGTTTTGTTTTTTTTTTGTTTTTTTTTTTTGTTGGCTTTTACGACTCCGTCGTAACCTCGGGTCAGGACGAGCCTGGCCAAGGTAGCCCCGAAGAGAACCGCGACCCAGTGGTTAGGTTTTCACTCCTTGCCCTA